AAAAACATAATCAAGAAAAGAAACCACAGTCATAATCAACACAATAACTACCATTTTCACTTTGCAACATAATACGTCACATTAATACCCTTAACCGATGACCATAACATAAAACAAATGTTGCTCCTTACGGTACTGGACCAGTAACGTTGCAGGACTGTTCTAGTTACCTTAAACCATTTTTCAAGTACCAAATGAATTACCAAAACTGCCAATACTAAAACAATTAAAACATTTTATATTCTACAGAAATCTGTTGCCGGTCCAGCACCATTACAGTACCAAGGTTGTTCTAGTTACTTGAACGATTCTTAAATTCCCAGCAGTGCGGATACTAAAACACTAAAAACATTTCATATTTCCAGAAAACCGGTTGCTGGTCCAGTAACGTTACTGGAGCGATACTCTACATTATATACTCTACGGAAATCGGTTATTTGTCCAGTAACGTTAATGGAAGGATACACTGGATTTATTTCATAATTCTACGGTTATCGGTTATCGGTCCAGTACGGTTACTGGAAGGATACACTAGATTTTATATTCTACGGAAATCAGTTATTGGTCCAGCAACGTCACTGGAGCGATACTCGAAAAAGATAATTAAAAAAAAAACAAATTGAAGAGAGAGAAAGAGAGACCGATAATCGTAAGTGGACGAATCGCAGAGAGAAGGAGACGAAGATTGCGATTGAATATCCGAAACAGAGACGGCCAAAGGAATCAAAGAGCTCGAGAACAATAGAAACGGCTGCTTAGTTCTTGAGCTGCCTCCGCCGCTGCTCGTGTTACCGGTGTTGGATGTGAGAAGAGTTCGGACGTTTCTGGAGCCACGAAGAAGGAAAAGAAGACATAAAATACATACAGCAAAATGTGAATGTAAGAGCCATAACCCACAATTCAGATGGGAAGAACTAGAATGCAAACAGTATTACAAAAATCAGATTCTTGTACCTTCCAAGTTCCTTCTTAGCTTCAGTCTTCCGCGAAAACAAATCTGAGCCATTGTGCTCAGAAACAATCTTTGAACAATAATGTTTGCTCGCGTGAATGCCTTTAACAATTGTAAAAAGAACATATTAAAGTTAGGATAAGATAGAATGCACACAGCTAATAAAACAAACTATAGTAAATTGATGCATTCATTCATACACGGCAAAGGGGAAGAGAGGAGAAAAAAAAAAGGTAATATCATGAGGAGAAAAGAGGATGACTTACACAAACCGTCAGTAGCAAATATTTTAGATTTTATATTAGTAATAATTTTGACCCAAATTTCATCAATTTTTACCGGTATAAATCAGTAGAGTGAAAAATTAAATCTTAGCAACCAAACCAAAATCCAAAGTCATGGTATCCAACATGTTCAAATCCTGCAAAAACCTGTTCTGGCATCCTTATAGACCATACAAATTTTATATTGTCAATCATCTATTAAGATTAATTTCCAAAATGAAAAGAAGCCTTCTCTGTGGATTATTGGACACCTCTCACCAATTTGTATATTGTGGTTTCCAAATTAAAGGGAAGCCTTCTTGTTTGTTACTGGACACCTCTCATCCCAGAAGTGCACCTCCAATTGCTGCTTAGCTGTTTGACTGTGATACATCACTATTTTTCCTTTCCTTTTCCTTTTGCAATTTAATTATACAAGTACTCTAAATAGTCACTCCATGACAAGATTCCCAGGGCTCATTAATTGAAGAGCACACCTCACACCCACTTATTGGATAATAGTTCAGATAAAATTCAAAAAATCAAACGCTATAGCACAACTTCCTTTCTTTTTGCTTGGCAAACATAATTACTGACCCAAGTAGGATGACCCACAACTCGTACTCAACCCCGCTCCTATTGTGTACATATTCTGACACTATAGCTTAAACATATTAAAGAGAAAAAACAAGTGCATTTCACATGAAATTAGTAACTGTGGTACAGATTAACTTTTTTAATCACTTCATTTTTCCCCCAATTTTGCATTAATCCACCATCACATTAGCCTAGGTCATGCTACGAATCAGATGTTGATTCCAAAGACAGCCAGATCCATCTGAAAAATGAAAGAAGATCTGCATATATTACTATGATATCCTATACTTAATCAAATTATATACGAATTGAGGCCTACAATCATTTTTCCAGCTGTGCATATCGTAAACATAACAGATCCATTAGATCTAAAGAAGGTAGGAAATAAGGTTTATAAAATTGGATAACCGCCAAATTCAGATTAGCAAGAAATTTTTGTCTGGCTTAGATCATGAAATATCAAATTCCTTCTAATTGTCTTAACAGGTGATCTGTGTACATGTAAACATGACTTGGTTTACAAAATCCAATGAAAAGTTACAATGAATGGGCTGCATGATAGAATGTTTCTAAAATTGGACAATTAAATTGATTAACAAATGATAAGTGAAGAGGTATCTCATACTCACCAGTGCCTATAAGTTCAAACATCAGAGTCGGAAGTTCAGGCAAATTCTTCCCATTAGCAATGTTGACAGCTTAACCTGAACCTCATCAGCAGCTCCACCCTTGACACCTGTAGAGTTTGTAAAAACTAAAAAAACTGAAGAGGGATTGAATAAGTGAACAAAGCTTGTAGATAAGGCCCCACCTGTTACCAGTCAACATAGTAGCAATAGCAACTCTGCTGCATCCTTAATTGTAGGAAAGTTACACATTGCAACCTACAACATATCAAATTCAGTCAACAAAATTCATTGTACATTCTAACTACTCCATTAAAATGGATAGCAAGAGAATCGAGTACTCCATAAGGGAAAACTTCTCAAAATTTCAAGTCAGCAAACTCATGTTTAAGTGCAAAAAGAAACACTTATCACTTTATGGCAGCTAAAGCTGTCTTTTTCCCCCCTCCGTTTTTTCTAAGGGATTTGTTTTCTCTAAGGGATTTGCTTGTTTACAATTCTTAGCACACTCCAAGGGCTAAAGTGTTTGCTTTGATTCATGAGCCAATCAAATCAGCCGAGTATGTCTGCTCATCTAGCAACAATTAGATTTATAGAAGCATGAGGCAGGACCCACAAGTTATGACAATAAGAAAATGCAAATCACAAACCTAATCTGTCTATCTAGATCTCCAGATGCTTCATCCACAAGACTTGGTTACAAATTTTCCCAAATCTTAAGTAAAGGCAACCATTCCAATTTATAAATAGTTGGAACTTGTTAACTTTCAATTTTTAAATGATAATCGAGAAAGAATAGAGAGAAAAAACAATGAAATAAACGGCCTGCGATAAACATAATTGAAGGGCTTATGTTTCCATTGCATAAAAGCTAAATGCAAATATTATGTTTTGAGTTAGATATACTCAATAACAAAACTATAAATGCCAATTCATTACTTCTATGAGGCATTTAATGCACCAAATGCAGGAAATCAAAAACTCTTATTGAAGTTATATAGTTTTAAAGTTTTCTTGTATATTACATGATTCCAGTATCATGAGATGCAACTTATTCTTCAATATTGAGGTGGTTCCAATTATCTTGGGTACAACTTTAACTTTTCACTGCATATGTTTTTCCCATGTTCTATGTAATCTGTATTATTTGTTATTTGATGAGAAGAGTATGGATTTAAGCACAAGCAAGCTCTATGCTTTCCTTTCAGAACAATTTATTATAGCAAGCATCAGAGAGCGTAGAAGATATGTTCTGACGTAAATTAAAAATAAATAATAACAATCATGACAGTGCTACTAACACATGAACAAACATAATTATCATTTCAATCTCAGTAAAATCCCATCTTGTCTAGAGAAAATACTAGTTAGAAATTTGAATTGAACTAAAACGAATTGCTTTCCAACAGAGAAGGTCAAGTTACCACTGAATGCTGAGGAATTTTCTGAAGCGTAGAGTAACTTCTGTTATTACACCCAGGGTTCCCTCACTTCCATTATGAGAAGGGTCAAATCATACCTAATATAGCAAGTCTTATAGGTTCACAGCTGAACAAAATAGGAAAGAGGAAAGGAAAAAGAAAACGAATCTTCTAAGCACCATGAAACTAAAAATATAAGATTTGTGACTCACAACTTATTGCTGATTGAGTAGATATTCCATGCATGGAAATGCAAATTGTGGACAGACTAAAGGATGGGAATCATGGACCAGAAATCCTTCTTAAAACAAATATATCAGGAATTAAAATTTCAAAGGCCTAGAACTGACAAGGCAAATTGAAAATAGAGAAAAACTAACATTGTTTAAGAAACATTACAAAATTAAACCAAACCACATGTGATTACATGCATTGCTATACAAGTTGCAATGGCTCTAACTAAGTAGAAATGCATTTCTCCTTTACTTGCATTTCACTTGATAATTAAAGAAAATTTCTTGATTCCTCACAAATGTAAGAGGACCATAACAAACAAATACAATCAGAAGCAAAATCAAGGAAGTCACAGCACTTATGCGCATATATTTTCAAAAAGCATATATTTCAAAACCCTATAATTTCAAGCATTGAAGAAAAGACCATCATAGAGAATGTGCCCCTCTCAGCTATATTAGCTTTACATAGCCTAGTTAAAAAACATATATAAGACTCATAACATAAATGCGAGTTAACACACTCGATTTACACCACAATCATAATTAAGAATTGTAGTGGATTACTGGATTTATGTATCAGGAGTAAGGCAGTTAATGATAGCAAAACAATGGATGATAATTGATATGTTAACTGTCATTCAAGAAAGCTCAACCAATTATATCTGTCTAATGGTTGTTTCCGTAATTTCAAGAATAATGGTTGGAATCTCTTGTTCTACTTTGTCTATTCCTTATTAATTAAAAAATAATAATAATAACTAGATTGATGTAGATAAGTGAACAACCCGCAGCATCTTTCGTGCACGAGAAGCTGTCTGACAATACTCCATTGGCAAGAACTACCGAGGTGTACACATTATTAGAGATATATCACTTTATGGCTAAATATACATGAGAAGGAAATGACCAACCTGAGATTGATGACATTATCAAGCATTGTTCCATACCTACATGCTAAAGCAAAATCATTAAATCAAAAGGCAAACTGAACCATCAAAATAGACTCCAGAATAGTTTGTTGCTAAAGCATTTTGCATCTAGAGTTGAACTTCATATAAAGACAAACCCTTGAATATATTCAAACTCTAGAAAATAAAGATATCAATATAAAACGCACAAAACTTACACAGAGGTGCGAAAAGGTCTTTGGTTTTACTTACTATTTCTCGCCAAAATTTGAGATAAGTATTCCATTACTGGTCAAGTAACTATAATTTTGTATATATCTCTTTTCCTCTTTACTAGGAACAGCAATCTCACATGTAAATACCCTTAGCAATCAATAAAATGTCAGAGCTAATGAAACAGTGCAACTACCTGACTGCTAAAGAACCAGAGCAACGTGTAGCACACATCCCCCCAATGGTTGCACCAGGCCCTGTATTCAAGATAATTTATGAATATGTTCACCTCAATGCCAAAGTGACAACAGAAAAAACAAAAGCAGAGGTAGAGAGAGAGGCACTCTTGAGGAGCAGGAGACAAACTCAAGCAAAAACTTGGCAACTCACACTACACTGTCCAGGGCATACACATTTGAAAAATTCTGACTTCATTAGAGTTTGAAATAATTTTAGCTGTGTCCCAAAATATCAATCAGGCAGAGAATGATTGACCATTAATAACATTAAGAAGAGACCATAGTAACCTGACCAGGATCAAGGGGAAAGAATAGACCATATGGCTCCAAGTATTCATTGAGCTCCATCCACCCGATCCCGGCTCAACAACCACGTCCATGTCTCAATATGTAATGCTTTAACACTCTACAATATGACCATAATCCAGCATTAGCAATATAAATATAAAAGCAGAAAAAAACTCCAGAATACATGTATGCATTTGACAGATTCATAAGATATGCAACTGAAAGATCTCGCCCCCAGAATAATTGCATTCACCAACAGGCTTAGAGATTTAAGTTAAGAGGTGACTTGTATAAGTTGCAGCAGAAGAGAATGCTCAAAAAAGACATTGACAGCTTCCACTTAGGCTGTGGGTCCTTTATGGTATTAAAGATATGAATCTTGCGTAGTTCTGAGAAGACAATATTCAGGAATCGAATGTTTCAAGTAGATGCATCAAGTTCATCCCAGGCAGATATAAAAGAGATTATACATACTTTCATTCATAGACATGTCAATGCAAACACCACCAAGAGGAGATAAGGTGTGACCCTCAATTGAAGTTGCTCCACCCTATGGTACAATGGGATCTGATTATAACATAAAGACAACCCAAGTCAGTACTTGCTCCAAAAGAGCAAGATATTTCGTCATACCATAATCAAGAACAAAAGAGATACAAAAAAAACCAAATTACAAATTAACAAAGATGCTTTAAGTCAAAGAAAAGGGAATTATATATGAAAAGCATTTTCAGTAAAAATTCGCAATTCAGCTTGAAAAAGTCGAGTTGATTAAGGCATGATATGTCCACATGCTTATTTAAGTAGAAATACTTTTATAAGCCAAATCAATCATTGCTAGCGTATTCTGTTCACAATAGAGAACTCCATTTCATAATTTATTTATGCTCAACCACTATACAAATAGGCTTTGATTTTCAATTTTGTGTAGACTATAGATTATTGATTATGAGTGTTGACGCTCGTTTTTTAGTGAATACGAACTAGTGATGTGGACCCAACTGTCAGGGCGTCCAAATTCAAGTTTGAAGAGTAAATCTTACAATGGCAATGGCTACGGCTACTCAGTTGAGGGCGATGCATCTTTGGTTCAATCAATGTCCAAGTTTAAGTCCATAGTTAAAAGTCTAAGTCCAATGATCAACCAAGCTACGGTAAATTTGATGAGTAGTCTTCTTTGCCTTCTACAAAATAACCATAGTCAAGGAGAGTCGACTAGGGGTTTCGTCAGCGTAGAGCCGACGACAACACTCAATTAGAATCTAGTTTATCAGAAAATCTAGAGTGAGATGCTCCCAAAAATATTTAATTATAGAAAATAAAAAGTAAATGAATAGTAAAACTGAGAGTATCATGGCTCAAATATTGGGATACAAGTTATAAAGGTGGAGGGTTAATGGTCTCTAAGGTGATAATTCTTGAGGTAGAACCATATAATGTTGACTTATTGGCGTATGACCGTTGTGAAATCAAACTTCAAAGCTATTGTACACTCATGAGGACAGCTAGCCATTGGCAACGAGGTATTTGGTTAATGAGCTCCTTTGGTGTTGAGAAGAGCTAGCCATGGGAAATCAACTTTTTTTAAGACGATGCCTAGTTCATTCATGAGATTTTGGTCTTGGGAACACAACAACATTCCCTCCAACTAAAATTGAAATCGTTAAAGTTGAAATCATCGAAATGAGATGGTTAAAATCTCATCATCCACGAATTCAAAGCTCAAGAACTCATCACTCATGACTAGCTCTCCTCATCGCACAAAGAATTCATCGCCCATGGCTAGCTCTCCTCATCAACCAAAGGCACTACAAGACTAAACAAGTATACAATAGTTATAAAGTTTGATTTCATAGCGGTTGTATGCCAAAAAGTTAACAACACGTGATTCAACCTCAAGGATTGTCATTTTGGAGACCACTAACCCTCCCCCTCTACATATAGTGCCTTAATATTTAAGCCATGGAACTCTCAATTTCACAATTTAATTACTCTTTCTCTCACTAAACTTAATTATTTTTTAAAGCATCTCACTCTATATTTTAAGGTATACCAAATTCTAACTTGAACGTCAAAGGGCCGCTAACGTGGAAACCCCTCATCGACTCCCTCTAATTGTGGCTTGGTTTGCAGAAGACAAAGAAGACCACTAATCAGACTTAATTAGCTTGCGCGATCATTGGACTTCGACTTTATACTAGAAACCTAAACTTAGACGCTAATCAGACCAATCACACATCACCTTCCATTGATCGACCGAGCACTTGTAGTCATCACCAAGGTAAGATTATGCGTTAAAGTCAGATTCAGATGCCCCGATACCCGAGTCCACATTATTAGTTAACATTCAACCAAAAAAAAGCGTCAACAATGAGGATTGGCTTTCTCCCCAATTATCTATTTCTTTCCTCAATTTCTCAAGCCCTTTCTTTTTCCTTACTTCATTCTATTTCCTTATCTATCTTATTCTATTTCCTTCTTTTTCCCTACCTCGTTCTATTTCCTCACCTGTCTTATTTTATTTTCCACCAGTCCTACATCATTTTATGGAAATTTTTCTAATCTATTTAAACCAAGTAGTTTCAAATTTATGAACAAGTTCACTAACAGTTGACTCACTGAAATCATTGCCTCAAAATTAGGTTCCATTGCAAAGCATGCCCACAGTGCTTCCTTCCTTATCTGTATGAAAGCCAAAGAACTTTACAGAATGCAGAGAGAATTACAAATCAAAAAACTTGTGCATACTGAAAACCATCTAAAAGATAAATAAAAGTTTCACCAGGGAATTAAGAGCGCAAAACAAGACCCATATTGTTATATCTTAACATGAGAAAGGCCAAAAACATCTCTTTTTTGCTCTCTCACTCTCCCACTCCCCATTTGACATGTGTACAAGAAGACAAATAAAATGAAAAAGAGAGTAATCATTTGTTTATTATCTTATGTCTTTTCTGCACATATCACAATGAGAGTGAGTGAGAAAGAGAGTGTTCATTAACACTCCTCATCTTAACATATCTAGTTCTACTTTATTTATGGGAGCTTATGAACAGGTAAAACCACTGTACAATATTACTGAACTGAAAAGGTTTGGAAATATTAATTTCAAAATTATACATTATAGCCTAGAATAAGATCAAAATAAAAAGGTGACAGCCCCGAAGAAGGAAAAGAAGACATAAAATACATACAGCAAAATGTGAATGTAAGAGCCATAAACCCACAATTCAGATGGGAAAGAACTAGAATGCAAACAGTATTACAAAAATCAGATTCTTGTACCTTCCAAAGTTCCTTCTTAGCTTCAGGCTCTTCCGCGAAAACAAAATCTGAGCCATTGTGCTCAGAAACAATCTTCTGAACAATTAATGTTTGCTCGCGTGAATATGCCTCTTAACAATTGTAAAAAGAACATATTAAAAGTTAGGATAAGATAAGAATGCACACAGCTAATAAAACAACTCTTTATAGTACATTGATGCATTCATTCATACACAGCAAATATAGGGGAAAGAGAGGAGAAAAAAAAAGGTAATATCATGAGGAGAAAAGAGGATGACTTACACAAACCGTCAGTAGCAAATATTTTAGATTTTATATTTGTAATAATTTTGACCCAAATTTCATCAATTTTTACCGGTATAAATCAGTAGAGTGAAAAAATTAAATCTTCAGCAACCAAACCTAAAATCCAAAGTCATGGTATCCAACATGTTCAAATCCTGCAAAAACCTGTTCTGGGCATCCTTTCATAGACCATACAAATTTTTATATTGTCAATCATCTATTAAGATTAATTTCCAAAATGAAAAGAAGCCTTCTTTGTGGATTATTGGACACCTCTCACCAATTTGCATATTGTGGTTTCCAAATTAAAGGGAAGCCTTCTTTGTTTGTTACTGGACACCTCTCATCCCAGAAGTGCACCTCCAATTGCTGCTTAGCTGTTTGACTGTGATTACATCACTATTTTTCCTTTTCCTTTTCCTTTTGCAATTTAATTATACAAGTACTCTAAATAGTCACTCCATGAACAAGATTCCCCAGGGCTCCATTAATTGAAGAGCACACCTCACACCCACACTTATTGGAATAATATGTTCAGATAAAATTCAAAAAATCAAACGCTATAGCACAACTTCCTTTCTTTTTGCTTGGCAAACATAATTACTGACCCAAGTAGGATTGACCCACAACCTCGTACTCAACCACGCTCCTATTTGTGTACATATTCTGATAACTATAGCTTAAACATATTAAAGTGAAAAACAAAGTGCATTTACACATGAAATTAGTAACTGTGGTACAGATTAACTTTTTTTAATCGCTTCATTTTTCCCCCAATTTTGCATTAATCCACCATCACATTAGCCTAGGTCATGCTACGAATCAGATGTTGATTCCAAAGACAAGCCAGATTCCATCTGGAAAAATGAAAAGAAGATCTGCATATATTACTATGATATCCTATACTTAATCAAATTATATACGAATTGAGGCCTACCAATCTCATTTTTCCAGCTGTGCATATCGTAAATATAACAGATCCATTAAGATCTAAAGAAGGAAGAAAATAAGGTTTATAAAATTGGATAACCGCCCAAATTCAGATTAGCAAGAAATTTTTGTCTGGTCTCAGATCATGAAATATCAAATTCCTTCTAATTGTCTTAGCAGGTTGATCTGTGTACATGTAAACATGACCTTGGTTTACAAAATCCCAATGAAAAGTTACAATGAATGGGCTGCATGATAGAATGTTTCTAAAATTGGCACAATTAAATTGATTAACAAAATGAATATAGTGAAAGAGGTATCTCATCTCACCAGTGCCTATAAGTTCAAACATCAGAGTCGGAAGTTCAGGCAAATTCTTCCCATTAGCAATGTTGACAGCTTTAACCTGAACCTCATCCAGCAGCTCCACCCTTGACACCTGTAGAGTTTGTAAAAACTAAAAAAACTGAAGAGGGATTGAATAAGTGAACAAAGCTTGTAGATAAGGCCCCACCTGTATACCAGTCAACATAGTAGCAATAGCAACATCTGCTGCATCCTTAATTGTAGGAAA